TTAAATATTCTTCAGAAACAGTACTTTGAACCGTCGCCTGAACGGTTACAATGCCTTCTCTCAACCGTCTGCTAACTCCTCTTTTGCTGACACATGTTCTCAACCGACCAAGCTATTATTCTCACTCGCTCTCCGCAGCATCTGACCTCCACAACAACCAACACTTCGCTCATCCAACTGCTGATCAACCGACTTGCCTATCCGACCGCAAACCAACCGACTTGCCTGTCCGACCGCGAACCAACTGACTTGTCTATCCGACTGCAAACCAACCGACTTACCTATCCGACCGCAGACCAACCGACTTGTTAGTCCGACCGCAGACCTTCCGACTTGTTGGTTCGACCGCAAACCTTCCGATTTGCAGACCATCTGACTTGTTGGTCCGACCGCAGACCTTCCGACTTGTTGGCCCGACCGCAGACCTTCCGACTTGTTGGCCCGGCCGCAGACCTTCCGACTTGCAGACCATCCAACCCGCTGACCTTCCGACTTGTAGACTGTCCGACTCGCAGACCCATCCGACCTGCGGACTTTCCGACCCGCAGACTTACTTCCCTATGGACCATCCGACCTGCGGACCTTCCGACCCGCAGACTTACTTCCCTAGAAATACGTCCAATTTACCCAATTATCTTGAAATACCCCTTAATTAGTCTAACAGACCGAATTGTAAGCGTGAGCTTTTTAACCTAACTATAAATTTCATACGTAACAATTTTTAATTAAAATTTATTATTTTCTGACAAAATATTATAGTAAAATATTATTTAAATTAATACTCCAATTACTATTCAATTTTAAATAAAAATTTTAAAAAAATTCAACTTGTTACTTTGTGTAGATAGAAACTTATTTAAAGCATTAAAAATTAATGTAACATTTAAAAAAAAAAAGAAATTACTGTTAAATTAGTTTTGTAAATATCTACATAAAAATAGGAGGGTGTGTTGTTTTGTAAATTAGTTTCAAATAATATTTTATCTGTGAGATATAGAGAATTAAGTAAATAATATAAAAACAATAAATGTATATGATATTATTACTCCCTCTGTCCTAGATACTATGTTCACATTGCCCTTTCTGTCCGTCCCACATATCATGTCACTTTCCTTTTTTTAAAAATGATTACACACTTTAATTTCATTTTAAATTTTTTAATTTTTTTTTCAATTTTAATTAAACAAATTAGTTATATTAATCTTAATTTATATTATAGGATAATTATTTTCACTAATATATTATTAATTATCTACTAATTACACCCCTCCTAAAATACCGTGTCTACAGTGTAGCAGATACGGTATCTGGGACGGAGGGAGTATTATTTTGAGGAAATATGTGCTTAAAAAATATAAATAGAATACAATCGAGAATATTAAACTATTGATAAAATAAGGGTTTATCACTAGTCTCGGAGGTAAGTAATTTTTTATATTATAAATAATTGTATTGATATATAAAAAATAATATTTTGTATTTAGTTGATAAATTTTATGTAAATAAAGAAAAATATATTATATATATGTTGTATTAGTATACATATATTGTATTCTTTAATAATATTTATAAAAATTTATTTCACTTAAAAGTGATTAGTAAAGAAACCTTAAATTGTAAGTAAAAATTCATTTCACATAAAAGTGATAAGTGAAGAAACCTTAAATTGTAAGTAGAAAGTCAATTATATTGATTTTTGTAGAGTAAAAGAATGTAGTCAATATATTTTTATCTAGAGAGTGAGTTGTAAAATTTTTCAGTAAGTAGGAGAATTTTAAAGTTTGTGTTCTCGTTTGAAATTGAATTGAAATAAGGTGTTTGATTTGAGTTTTATTTCTATAGTATTTTGATAAGATATTTTGTAAAAAATAATAATATATTTTTATTAAAAATTGTGTCAAGTTAATAGTATTGATTTTGGTTAAAAATAGTAAAAGAACAAATTGAAAATTAATTATAAACAATAAATAAATAAATAGATTAAAAAATTTATGAATAATGTATGAGTTTAATGTTATGTTGTGTGAGAGAACATATCCTGCAATATTTTCAAAATTAAAAATAATTAATACATTTTATTCTATAATACTCTCTCCCTTCTTTAATAATTTATTAATTTTTTTATTTTTGTCTGTCCCATAACAATATATCTATTTCTTATTTTCTATTTCCTTTAATAATGTCATTACTTTTATACTATACAATACTGTTGATGCAATTTTTCAACAATAAAAAGTAAAATCCGAAAATAGAGATTATCTTCGAATTTGATAAAATAAATGGCTGAAATTAGGAATCACTAGGCACTGTAGGATACGCAAGTAAAATAAGAGAAATAAAAACTACACACTGAAAAAGTAAAGTGGTGATCCCAAAAACAATTCTCTTGAATTTGATGTTGATTGATGATGATTTTTCAGAACAGACTCGAATCCTTAAATAACACCTTTAAAGAAATGGTTTGAACCGTTGCCACTGTCAACCGCCCACAAGGTCCTCCTCTGTCGACACGTGTGTTAACCGACTCACCAACCGCTCGCGTCAGTTACAGCACTCAACTGGCTCGGCCGACCGCCTCTGAACACCTTACCGCCTTAAATGGGAGGCTGGCCCGACCGGCTACTCAACCGCCCAAAATAACCCCTGACTCCTTAGACGGACCGCAGGCCAACCGACCAATCCAGATACTAATTGGTCGCTAGACCAAACGACTCATTGGTCGCCCAATCAAGCTACCAACATCTGGTCCCTTCAATCGGCTAAACAACCATTCGTCCGACCTCTTTTTGACTGACCTCCGCATCGGCCGTCTCGTCTTTCTTCGACCGACTTCCTCTTTTGACCGACCTCCGTATCGATCATCTCTTCGTCCGACTTCATTTCGCCCGACCTATATGCCGTCCGACCTGGATGCATACTATTTCCTCCGTGTCTGATCTTATCTTGTCCGACCTCCGTGCCCAGCCTTATCATGTCCGACCTTATCATATCCGACCTCCGTGCCCGACCTTATCGTGTCCGACCTCAGAGCCCGACCTTATTATGTCCGACCTCCATGTCTGACCTTATCTTATCCGACCTCCATGTCTGCCGAATCATCTTTCTTTGCCCGACCTTATTATGTCCGACCTCCGTGTCTGCCGATATTTCTTCTTCGCCTGACTTTTGGACCGTTTGGCTTATATTCAAAATCCTACTGTCATTATTATTATTATTATTATTATTTTTTGTATGTAACAAATAGTAATAAGGACAATTTAATCGTTTAATATTTACTTCTAGGAGGGAGTATTATTCAAATAAAAATAAATAAATATACACTTTCTGCATCACTAAATCTTTACTTATTTTGACCTCACCTAAATTCCCTTGCTGGTGCATTAGGGCATCCACAACGGGAGACGCTTGTTGAGAAGCGCCTCCCACGTCATCATTTATTAAATAAAAAAAAAATTAAAACACCAATTAACATAAGGAACGGTACATTGCGAGTGTACCGTTTCTTCCAATTTTTGTGGGCCATGGTCCACTTTTTTATTCAATAAATATTAAAAATAATATTTATAATATATACTTTTTTATTTATATTTATAATAATTTGTTTTATTAAAATATTAGATTTAAATTTTATTATATGAGTTTTATTTAATATTTATTTTTTTATTAAAATAATATTGTTAATAACTATAATTTTTAATATAATATTTTTATATTTTATGTAACTTTTTAATGCATATTTTTGTAAAATATTTAATTAAATATCTATTAATTCAATTATAACATTTGTTTAATTAAAATTACATGCAATACAAATAATAAATAAAAATACATAAAAATATTCATAAATTTAAAATTAAATTTACATGACTTAATTAAATTATACACACTACAAATATTAATTGAAAATACATAAAAATATTCATAAATTTAAATGCAAACCTACACGACTTAATTAAAATTACAGACAATACATATAATAATTAAAAATACATGAAATAAATACCAATAAATTTAAATGCAAACTTACGGAAAACATTCGCGTGCCAACCTTTGTTTCAACTGTTCTTCAAATTCCGTCAGATTATCCCCTTTGGCCATTATCATCATGAGCATTTCCATCTTCGTCTTAGCAAGTTCTAACTGTTTAACTTCCCGATCAAATTTTCTTGCCGTTTTTTCTATCCTTTTAGCTTTCAAAAGTGCTTCTATTTTTTCGGGTTGTTGCTTCAATCTTTGCTCCTTGACTGCTGCCATATGTTCCATAGGTAAAATAATGAGAGCATGCATCATATTACATAATATGATTGTAGAAGATGAAAGGGACACTTATGTGCATTATTACGATACATCTCAATATGATCAAGTGGAGACAAATGATAACTCGAATTGGTCATACAACAATACGAGACATGCAACTATGGATCAATACCTACGGAACAGAATGCGACTCCGAGCTAGAGAAACACACCACCAGCTCAAAGCGGATTTAGTTGAACACATTTGGGAGAAATTTGGTCAATCGACTAATTAATTTATTTGAAAAATATATTGTAATATTATGTATTTTTTATTAAATTTAAGTTTGAATTTTTAATTAGTATGTGGGTGTGGAATTATTATTTTTATTTATTTTATTTATTTATGCTAAATAATTATTTTATTTTAATTAAATATTATAAGAATAAAATATAATGAAAAAATATAAGTTTATTTTATAAATAGATAAAATATTTAATGAGGTGGAAAAAGTAAAGATTTTAAAGGGTTCTTTGATGTGAATGTAAAATATAGTTGGAGTTCTTCGTGACGTGGCAGAGAGAAACTGACGTGGCACATGAGAGAGAATGGGAAGAAACCCTGGATGGGTTTATGTGTTGTGGATGGCCTTACCTAATTTTTTATTCGACCCACTAAGTTCCTTTGCGGGAATCCAAATGTTATTTTTGAGAAAGGAGTATATTAATTTTGATTTAAAATATTAAAATAACAAAACTCGAATATAAGTTGGAATGTAATTTACAAAATTTGAAACCCTAGCAGCGCCATTTTCCCAATTCCGTTCACGCTGTTCTTCTCCAAAACCCCTAAACCCATTTCTGACGATACGATCCGACAGAAATTCCAAATTTCCCGACAATGTTTTCGCCCCCCTCCAGGAAATCCACCTTCACTGCCCGTAAAAATGCCGCAGACCAGATGGACGAGAGCTTCATTTCCAGTCCTACCGTCCCCAATCGGCCGGCCACAGGCACCCCAGCCCCCTGGACCTCTCGCCTTTCCGTTCTCTCCAGGTACTGTTTCTACAACGCGCCTTATTTTATTTATACATTTTTTTGGTGCTCTACATGTTGTCTGTTGTAATTTAGTAGGGTGTCTGCACAGTTTTATTATTATTTGCCACTTGGTGGGTTTGTGGTTATCATTGGAACTGAGATGTAGGATTAGGGGTTTTTCCTAAACCGGGGGATGGTGGAACTTTGGCGGGGCGGCCTCTAGTTCATATATAGCCTTTTTTGCTGTTCCTAACTTTAGTTGATTTGATGTTTTGTACTATATCTGCTACTGCTCTGGGGCCGAGTTTTCTAATTCTCAACTCAGGCACATTGATTGTCAATTGATCTTGTTTGATTTGGCCTTAGCTGTTCATAATTTTCTCTGGAATAATATGTTTGTGACGTCTGCAAAGTCGCTTGCTGTTGAAAGTCATGTGGAGTTAACAGCCGAACAGTGCTTAGTATCAGATAACTGTCTCTAGAAATTAGGTGATCATTTGGCTAATGGGGCTATGCTATAAAGATTGTATCAGCACTTCAACCATTTATTTTGTTCAGTTTTCCTGTTTAACGGGTTAATGGATGTTTTAACTATCTGTATTGTTCCTTATGTAGAAAAATGTGCAGTTGTGTGAATGTGACCAAATCTCCATGGATAGATATATGAGAAGAGAAAATGAAATATAGTTGTCATGGCACATGGAATGACTATACTCATTATTAATTTTTCTGTACTAATTGTTTTCATAAAATAAACTAGCAACAAATTTCACATGCTCAGCAGCAACATAGATGAACTTTTCAACCTGTATTTCTCTAATTAAGTAAATGGAAATTGTAAACCTAATCTTGGAGATAATAATAAAGAACACGGAATGAAACACTTTATGCAATATACTTATAGTTGGGTATTTGACACACTATGTAATTACAATGTAAGAATGGCACTAGATTGGTACTTAAGAAAGCTAGACCAATGTCATTAGCTACAGTGTGCCATGTTCTGTACCACATACAATATGATGATACAATGTGGTAACTATTTATGGTTTTCCTTATGAGAAACCAAATTAACTCTTCCCGTTGAGGTTCTTCATATTTATTGTACTGCCTCAAACATGTGCAATGAGTGTTACAGGACCATAATACCACTTAAATTCATTATTTGATGAGAAAATTCATTCACTACTTTGAATCTTTAAGAAATGCTTGACCGGAGCATAGATATTGAAATTTAGAAGAAAATGAGAAGTGAAATCTGTCTGATTATATGGTTGATGTTATGTTATCTTAGATCAATTGAACACATGAGTGAAAACTGAAAGTAACTCATAGAGCTATAAGGGATATGAACATTTTGTTAGACAGTGAGATAAGAGTTTGTTTTTAACGTACTCCTGCCTAGGTGGAGGAACATTGAAAATCAAATAAAAATGAGAAACTTCATCTATGTCTTGATTTAATTTGTGATCAGTATTGATTTGTTATTTTAGGTCAATAACGTACATGAAAGATGGATAAAGTGATACTTTTAGTAGTTAACAGATTAAATGCTTGGTATTCAGACACTGATGTAGGAATTTGTTCTTAAAATACACAGGATCCCACAGGCAAAGAGAACTGAAATAGAAGATGGGGTAGATGCTGTTCAACCTGTATATGTTGGCGAGTTCCCTCAAGTTGTGCGTGATGCACAAATTATGGCAGTGCAGAATTGTGTTCCTGGTTGGTCCAACAAATTTATCTCAGAATTTGCAAAATGGTTGCATTTATTCTATTTTTGTAAAGATTATTAAACTTAAGTTCATTTAACAGCGGATTCATCTGTCTCTGGGGGAATGGACAAGGAAACATCTCTTGCATGGATTATATGTGGAAACAGACTCTTTGTCTGGAATTTCTTGTCAGCTGCTGCTTCAAAAAAATGTGTTGCCCTTGACATTTCTTCCTTTATGTCAGAAAACGGAGACACGGTTCATGCCAATAATTGGTTAGTCTGTGTTGTTGATTGGGCTAGTTCCACAAAAGCTAGTAGAAAAGTTGTTCAACCAGGCAGTTCTACTGGGATTGTTATGTATAAAAAAAATACTCGCACTCTAATTTTCTGGCCAGATATTGGTAATGCTGGCAAAATCTCCCCAGTCTCTGTTAATTTTTCTGAATTAGAGGCAACTTACTTGCATCAAAATGCAAAGGCCCCCATGGCCAATGAAGATATTGGTATGGCTAAATCATGTTCTATAACCTCTTTGATTGCTACAGCAATTCCTGCCACCAACAATAGCTGTATTGTTCTTGCATGCAGTGCTAATGGTGTTCTTTGGAGATTCATGTGCAGCCCTTCTGGTATCCAAGGAGATGGAAATTACCCTCTTAACAAAAATGGAGATCCAAGATTGTTGATATGGCACACTCATAGACATTCATTGGATGACTCTACAAAACAGTTTCTCCTTTTAACTGATCAAGGGATACAGTGCTTTGCAGTAAAACTTGGTTTTGAATTTGACGTGACAAAGATTTGGTGTCATAAGATTATTAGCTCTGATGGTGATTTGGGTATCCAGAAGGATCTTGCTGGACAAAAGAAAATTTGGCCTCTTGATCTAGATGTCGATGTCGATGGGAAAGTATTAACTATTCTTATTGCTATCTTTTGCAAGGATCGGATCACCAGTTCAAGTTACACTGAGTACTCTCTCCTGACCATGCAATATAAATCTGGAGTGGATGTAGCGAAGTCAAAGGGGGAAAACATATTGGAGAAAAAAGCGCCTATCCAAGTTATCATTCCTAAAGCAAGAGTTGAGGATGAGGAGTTTTTGTTCTCCATGAGATTAAAGGTTGGGGGGAAGCCAGCTGGTTCTGCTATTATACTCTCTGGTGATGGTACTGCAACAGTCTCCCATTATTGGAGAAACTCCACCAAGCTCTATCAGTTTGATCTGCCTCATGATGCTGGAAAAGTTCTGGATGCTTCAGTATTACCTTCGATGGATGACAGTGGTGATGGAGCGTGGATTGTACTCACTGAGAAAGCTGGAGTTTGGGCCATACCTGAGAGGGCTGTTTTACTTGGTGGAGTTGAACCTCCTGAACGGAGCTTATCGCGTAAAGGGAGTTCGAATGATGGATCCTTGCAGGAGGAGAAACGGAACTTCTCAGTTGCTGGAAATATTGCTATGAGGAGAGCCACTTCAGAAGCTTGGGATGTGGGCGATAAGCCAAGAGCAGGCTTCACTGGAGTGACTCGTCGAGGTGCTCAAGATGAAGAGTCGGAAGCTTTACTAAGTCAGCTATTTCATGATTTCCTCTTGTCTGGGAAGGTTGAAGGTGTGCTTGAAAAATTAAAAAATTCAAGGGCATTTGAAAGAGAAGGGGAAATCAATGTATTTTCCAGGACAAGCAAATCAATCATTGATACTTTAGCCAAACATTGGACAGCAACAAGAGGTCCTGAGATTGTTTTCTCTGTTGTGTCCACGCAACTTGTTGAGAAGCAGCAGAAGCATCAAAAGTATCTGGAGTTCCTTGCATTGTCTAAGTGCCATGAAGAATTGTGTTCCCAACAAAGTATTATGAGTCTTCCCCTCAATCTTCACTCTTTTGTGCGTGTATTTTATGTTGTTGCAGTTCTTCTATCTCATTTCTGAAAAATTTTATTCTCCAAAATGTTCATTGCCTGTTTTCTGGAACTGGTTCTAATAATATTCCTTTCAGAGATCATTGATGAACTGATTAAATGTTGTGAATCTCGTTGCCCTTAAGTACTTCAATCCTTAATTCCTTACATTTCTGAAACATTATTTCTTGATCCAGGACAATCTTTGCAAATTATCATGGAACACGGAGAAAAACTTGCGGGCATGATGCAATTAAGAGAGCTGCAAAGCATGGCTCACACAAGTACAGCTGGACTTGGTTACTACCATGATTCAGATAGTCGGGCTTCTGGAGCTCTCTGGGACCTTATCCAGCTAGTTGGTGAGAAAGCCCGCCGGAACACCGTTCTTCTTATGGATAGGGATAATGCTGAAGTATTCTATAGTCGAGTTTCGGATCTTGAGGAACTGTTTCATTGTTTAGACAGACAACTGGAATATGTTATTAGTGGAGAGATGCCTATTCTCGTCCAGTTTCAAAGAGCTTCCGAACTTTCAAATGTTTGTGTTATTATTTTTCGTTCGGCTATGCAATATAGGAGTGGACATCAGTTGTGGTATCCTCCGCCTGAGGGCTTGACTCCTTGGTATTCCAAATCTATTGTGTGGAATGGATTGTGGAGTCTTGCTGCATTCATGCTTGAGTTGCTCAAGGAAACAAATCGCCTTGATGATTCAGCAAGATTTGATTTCTACTTAAATCTTCAAGTGCTCTGTGAAGTATTACTTGAGTCATATTCGAATGCCATTTCTGGAAAGGTCGAACGGAAGGAAGAACATAGGACTCTATTGGATGAATATTGGAAAAGGAGAGATACCCTTCTTGATTCTCTTTTTCAGCAAGCGAGAAAATTTGGCACAGCTAAACTACAGGTTTGTCTTTCTGATGGAATTCCTGGTGGATTCCATGTTATATATTAAATACTTTTATCTCACACTTCATGGATAACTGTGTACCATAAAACTCTGTTGTAGTGTATTCATCTGCTGAGCCATCTAATGCTTATAATCTGCAAAACTAATAATTTCTAAAGCATTAACATTTCTTATATAATAATTGGTATGAATTTTACATCAGAATAAATGTACTGTAATGTTAATAGCTGAATATTAGAAATTATTGCTGCTTAATGAGACCTATCAGCTCACTACAGCCTAGGAAAAAAGTTATTGGGATAAACTCCATTAATGTTCATGTTTGCGCCTGCAGGATTTAACTAAAGAAAACAAAGATCAAGATAAGGATCTTCTGATGACATTCTCTTCAAAGCTATTGTCTATTGCAAGAAGACATGAAGGCTATCAAACTATGTGGGGTATATGCAGTGATCTCAATGACTCAGAACTTCTTCGCAGCCTCATGGTATGGATTAGAAATTTTAAGATGTCTGTCATGTTGAGAGTTGCCCACTGCTGCTCTATGAATTCTTTATGGTTATTTATTATTATTATTATTATTATTATCTCTTCTTCTTCCTGAAATATTCTGAAGAAACTGTATATTTATTTTTTCTTCCTTGAAATCTAAAATGCTTTTATTTTGTAGCATGAAAGCATGGGGCCTAAAGGAGGCTTTAGTTGTTTTGTCTTCAAACAACTCTATGAAACCAAACAGTTCTCCAAGCTTATGAGACTTGGTGAAGAGTTTCAGGATGAACTAGCTGCCTTTCTGACGCAGCATCCTGATCTTCTCTGGCTTCATGAAGTTTTCCTTCATCGGTTTTCCACGGCTGCTGAAACTCTACATTCATTGTCTCTTTCCAAGGATGGTAGGTCTATTTCCTCAAACGAGATTGAATCCAATGGCTCAAGAACTACATTAACATTGGCCAGAAGAAAGCATTTTCTGAATCTCGCAAAAATATCAACAATGGCAGGTACCAGCTCTTTCTGTAATACCATGATACAGCCTTATTTCAGGGATCCAGAAAATGAATTGAGTGGAGTTGCATTTTCAGAACTTCGTTAAGACAAATGACCTGTACAACATTTGCATCATGTCATCCTCTTGTTTGAACCTTAAGTAATGTTGTAGCTCTCTGAAATGGATGCAGGAAAAGACATCAGCTATGAGCTAAAGATGAAGCGGATTGAGGCTGATCTAAACATTCTAAAGCTGCAGGTATGTTGCTCAACCTCATTTTAGTCAATTTATCCCTTTCATAGTCACATCTCAATGCCAACAGCTGAAAAATTGTTGATGCTGTATCTGTTTTGAATATTTTGGGTGGAAAAAGAAAACACTGAAAGGAGTAAATGAAGCAGATTTGGAATGTTATTTGTGTTTTGGCTTAAGGATTTTAATGTGGAAGGATACAAAAATTACGTGCTAGAATTTTATTGGCTAATTGAAGTTGTCTCTCTGGCAAGAACTTCAATGATTGAGTATATATATATATTTTTGGATATTGCACCTCATTTGGCTCTGGGATGATACCTAGTTGACTGAAGTGCTATAATTCATTTTTCTTTTTACCCCTTTTTCAAATTGTTATAAGAAATGGTCTGTGCTTTTAGCCTAATGCAAATTTGAAGGGGTTTGAATAGATGTTTTCTTATGGTGTGGTTATGTTATGCATGATAACTGCTTTATGTTTCGCATTGGAGCATTTCCAATGTATTTCTGTTTGCAGCAGCTAAGTGTACTGCTGATGTGTTACAATGAAACCTTTGTAGATTGGTTTAGTCAGTTTGTGTCTGAAACTAGCTAATAGTGAAAAGATGTGTTATGGAAACTAGTTATTGATTGGGAAAGTCGGACACTTCTTAGAAATCGTTGAGTGATTCAAAATTGCTTTAGATTGGATCCGAGGTGGCTCAGCTCTGTGAAAATTTAATATTGGTATAAATTTGCTGCACCACTCCATTTCTAGATGCCCATTAATGTAACAACCCGGTCGGCTCAAACCGGAACGTTATCGCCACGCCACACCGTAGGGTTCGTTCATCAATCAATTAGCCTTACGTTGAGGCGCGAAGGCTAAAATAACTATTACAAAACAACTATTTAGAGATTTAGAATTAAAGCCCATTAGTTTATCATTTAAATAAATAAAGTTCGAGTAAAAAACATAAGTTGGAAATAGTTCTTGAACATTAATAATGGATTTAAAAAACATTTTAGAAGATAAAGTAGTTATAGTTCTCCCCGATGGATCATATGACATGACGTGGATGCATCATTTAGGTATAATAGAAACATGATCACCTACAAAAAGGTTGTAAGAAAAGGGTTGGCTGGCTGGCGGCGTGCTGCACTGCTGCCTCTGTTCTTTTCTTTTTATATTTTTTATTTTCTTTTTATTTTATTAAACATAAAAGACTTGGACTCATCCTCTATATATATAGACACTCTAACCTGGATATGCTATATCTTAACAAACTACGGATACGCTATATCTTTTCAAATTCACACTTGGATATGATATATCTTAACAAACTACGGATAAAGATATCTAAATCAATAGATACGGATAAACTAAATCTAGTTTATTATTTATTTTACCCTAAACTCAATTTTACTCATAATTTAAAGCCAATTTCTTAATTTCTTACATCAAAAGTTCAAAATAAATTAGGCCAATAATATTTTCCAACTCCGGCGTCGAACTCCGACAAGTTCTGGCGAGTATTTTTACGGGATATTACAATTAGTCTCTTTCCAATAAATAGAAGTGGACATTATCTTGTGGGCCTTTTCTAACCGCAGTGCTCCAGGTAGCGAGAAGCTCTCCTGCCTATAATACTTTTCATTTTATAGAGCTCCCCTATATGTGGCCCTGTTTGGTGACATTGTGTTAGGAGGCTCCAACTTCCCATTGTTGTACTCTTTGTTTGGTATAATTAAAAAGAAAAAAATGGTCTTGATGAGGATACTAACTGCATCTTCGAAGTTCATATTTTGTATAGTTTTGTAGGATAAAAATGGGCCCTTCCCCAAGGTTGCTAGTGATGAAAGATTTTTGAGAAATTAGGATACCCTAAATGTTTTTCCTCAGAGATTTGGCAACGTTTTCCATGATTTATTTTCTAAAATATGTGTGCTGACAAAATCAAGAAAACCTTCCAAATCTTTCCACTCATTAAGAAGGCTCAGCAGCTATCAAGTTTCAAGTTTAGTTTTTAAAATTTTATGCTAGCAATTTGGATTCCAGTTTTTGAGTTCTCGAGCTCAAAAAGCTAGAAATTCATTTATTTGAGCACTTTTGTCTTCTTAGAGTCATTCACTATTTTGAAGAACCTCAACCCTGGCTTAATATAAACAACAAAACAAGTTAGATTTCCCAGAATTCAGCTTATATTGTTTGAATATTCAAGAACTAGGACCTTTCCAATGCTCCCTTTCGCCATGCATAGACTAAATCAACGATTAAGAAAGTACAGAAATGAAAGGCGTTATAAATTCTGTCAGATAGACCAAATACATAGTTCTTTTGAAATCGTTAGATATATGAGATGAATTGTATCTTTTGGTTCATTTTCTTGTTTCAATTGAGTAGTTTTGATTTCAATAGACATAAAACAAAACAAAACAATTCAGAACCATATGTATTGTCCCGCTCGTGCCAAGGCAATAGTTGGTTTCATTCATTATATCTATTCAGAAATCTCGACCTGTAGGCTTATTCAGTTTAACCTATTACATATAGAGTGTGTTGATGGTTGTTTGCCTCCCGAGATAAATCTTTAATTTGAAACTCTCCTCTGACCTGTACCTCTTGCAGGAAGAAATAATGACGCTTATCCCCGATGGAGAAGAAAAACAGTCAATCCAACATAAGCTTCTCCCAGTAATAGACCTCATTGAACTGTGTCTCAAGCTTCAAACGCGGGAGCTCTCATTACGAGCCTTTGACCTCTTCTCGGGCACAGGCGCCTCATTCATTAGAAGCAACATCAGCCTACTGGAAGAATGCTGGAGGAATGCTGCGAATCAAGACGACTGGGAAGAGCTGCACCAAACATCACTTGCCGAGGGATGGAGTGATGAGATGATGTTTGAGGTCCTCAAGGACACCGTCCTCTTCCGGTCTTCCAACAAATGTTATGGACCTGATGCCAAAACTTTTGAAGGTAGATTTGATGAAGTGCTGCCACTGAGACTTTGCGAACATGAACATGAACATGATCCAAATTTGAAGGACGCAAATACAGGTTCTTCGGTGGAAGGTGTCCTGATGCAGCACAAGGACTTCCCCGATGCGGGCAAGTTGATGCTAACAGCGATTGTGCTCGGGACTGGAGCAACTCCCATGGACGACTGAAAAGAGAGTCTTATGAATGAGAGTGGATGTGTTTTTGAAGTATATATATTTGTTGATTTAGAGAGAAAATGGAGGAGCATATTTCTGTAATGCATACATGCATATTCCTAAATGCATCTTCAAAAATGCTATGAGAAACATTAAAAGCATGAGGGCCATCACAACGAAGCAATGCCAGCATTGAAATTAAGAGAAAATGAGTAAAGCTGAGACCATCTCCAACCGCCGAGAAATTCCTTCAAATTTGCAGGGTGAGTCACCCAAGTAGTTATTTCACCCTCCTGAATGGGGAGGGTAATTATTAATTTTAATATTTATACTTATATTTATATTTTAAATTTGTTTAAAAATTATATTTTTATCCCCTTTATCATATTGTTTTATTAGTTTTGTTATAATAATTTATATACTAATTTATTTTTATATATTTATATTTTGATTTTGTAATTGATATTTATAGTATTTGTTGATTTAATTAATGTTTATTGATATTTATAGTTAATTATGATAAAAAAATAATTATATATAATTTATATTAAATTTCAGTTATTACAATATTTATTATTGTATATTATAAATTATTTTAGTTAAATATGTAAAAATAGTAAAATATAATGTATTATTTGTAAACTCAAAAAGTTATAAAAATAATAAATAAAGATAGATGGTATGGTTGAACATGAATACCTATAGCAAATTCTACAAAAATAATAAAATGTATTTAACTTGTGTAAAAATGAAATTATGGATTACAGATGATCTTATGAAATGAAGAGAATTTTAGGCACATCGAGTCATTGCAATTTTTTTTCCGCACTATTTTATTTCCTACTCAGCCTTGCAACTGAGTTAGGCAACTGTAATCTTGAAGATGGATCGGATCTTTCAAGTTGTATTTTTATTTTTAACCATAGCTTTGATACGATTGAAGAATTTAGGAAAACAAATAGTAAATGCTATATATGTCAATTATAAATAATGAATGATGTTTACATCCAATATAATTGACTTAGACCCCCAATTCATGTCTCCTATGCATGGTTCGCCGTCGCGGATCGGCGTCGCGGATCGGCCTTTACCGTTCCAGATACGTCGCGGCGTATCGGTCGCGGCGTATCGGTCAAATATCGGCCTATATGATTTTTTTATATAAAATTTATATTTTTTCAAAAAAATAATAAATAATTAATTAAAATACATCAAATTATAAATATAATTAATTTAAAAATATATATTATTGAAAAAATATATTATAATTTATAATAGATCAAAATTTAAAATGAATAATATTTCAACTAAATTAGCGGATATATATATATAAATGTAAATGCTAAATTTTATGTTTTGCATATTGTCATTATACTAATAAATTTATTTTAATAACAAAATGATGTACCTTGTGTCCGTCAATGTCAAGATTTCATCTTTATCATCTGCATTATATAAATAAAAATAATTAGAAAAAAATACAAATAAAATTTTATAAAATGTTCAAACTACGTTTATACTAAATATTTATACTTACCATTCAATACCATGTGGAATGTCGTGGAGGTTCAAAATCATTTTCATCTGGATTCATATTGCTTGGATAAGGAGAGATGTTCGAACCATATTGATTTTCTCTGAATGAACCCCTTCCATATACATCAAAACCTCGATATTCTCTATTATCATTGCTTCTGCTTGATGAACCATAATTTTGTCTACGATCATCAATACTACCCGAACCAGATGTAATCCCTCCGTAATATGTTCCAACTGGTTGGTTGGATCCAAATATAGGAAGATTGGCTGAATCCTGAAGATGTCTGGGTAGATTAGATAAACCGTATCCTGAGTAATAGGGATTATGATATGCATTTGGTTGGTCCCACTCCTGTCTCCCCAATCTATTACTCGAGCTATGAGAAGAATCTCCATAGGAATAACCTATATTCAAGTCTTGCATATGTTCGTGAACTCCAGAATATCTCCTAGTATCTGAAAAATTTGAAGCATCGGCTTCACTTGAAAATTCTGTTAAACTATTTAGAAAATCTCTTTGAGCTTCTATACCAGGACGATATCCATGATCAGTGTCTTGGGTAGCATAATAATTTTCATTTCCTTGAGCCCATCCCATATCACTTGAGTATCGGCTATCCCTGTAGCTTCCACTACCACCACCACCACCACCACCACCACCATCATCATCATCATCATCATCATCATCATCATCATCATCATCATCATCATTGTTATTATTCTTATCTTCACCATTAGTCGATGAAGATGAAGATTCCAATATGATTGCTTTTTTATTCTTGGCCGTATTTTTGTTTTCTGATTTTTTCTCTTTCGCCTTCTTTTTTCCATCAGCTATAAATTGAGATAAAAGCATATCACTGTCATGATCATTATGCTCACTTTGACCTCGATCTCCACTTTCTTCAATAGCCTCATCCAACCAATTCAAATCACTATCACGAATAAGTGGAGATTCATTTTCTCTAACCCATTCATCTAAAATATCATTTTCATCAAAAATATGATTCAAATCAATTGGGTCATAAAAATCGTCTGTGTCTGTCCTTTGCATAAAATTTTTTACCCGAAGACGCATGTTGTAGTGGACATAGACTAGCTTATGCAGTTTCTCAATAGCTAATCTATTCCGAAGTTTAGTATGGATCAAAGCCCACGTACTCCAATTCCGCTCACAACCCGATGATGTGCAAGTTTGACTCAAAACTTTTAATGCAATTTTTCTTAAATTAGGAGCTTCATCACCGTACATATTCCACCAGTCAGCTATTAAAAATAAATAAAAAATTATTAATAATGCAACATTTTATAACAAGTATATTTAAAAATATAATTAAATGATAAATTTCATAATACATACCTGGTAAAGATGTAGATACAGCTCTAATAGCAAGTGCACTTCCAAACTCTCCAATTTTGTTAACAAATATGTTTATCTATAGACAATATAATAGTAAAATTATTAGAAATTAATATATATATATTTATATATTATTTATAAATTTCACATAATTTACCTCATTCATAGCCTTTACTTGTATATCCAAATCTGGCTCGAGTCTTTTGATAACTTCTTTTACTCCTTTTCGAACCTCCGATGAATCAAATTCACAAGTGCCGGAGTATTGAAGACCAGGATTTAAAAAATAAGCTGCATGAAATGTATATAAAATTAAAAAATAAAACAAACGATTAGCACAATATAAAAACAAAAAAATAACAAGAATAGTTACCTGCTGCATGCAAATCTTGATGCAATTGATTATACCATCTTTCATCGATGATATCCCAATATTGTTGAAAATCTTTCACCGCGGTTTTTATTGCCATTTTTGCCCTATCCATTGCCTCATAAATGATAGGTAGTGTAGGTTTTTTATCTTGATCAACTACTTTTAAAACCTTCACTAAGGGTTCCATGACCCCACAGACTCGGCGTATCCGTTTCCAAAATCTTTCATTCAAAATCAAGTCTGATATATCTCCGGCTTCATGTCTTCTCCTCGAGGTATTATTGTACTCAACCCATTCTCTAGAAGTACACATTCTTTTCAAATCGGTTGCATATCTCAGAAGACTTTCCATTGCTACAAACTCGGTTGCAAATCTTGTTATGCCTGGTCGCAACAGATCTCGGCCATTCGTATATGTTTTCATCAAATTAACCACTTTATCACTGTTGTATATAAATCCTGTAATTCTTCTGGCTTCTTTTATCGTATCTTTCACTGACAATATATCTCCGATGTCTTCTAACATCAAATCAATGCAATGCGCTGCGCATGGAGACCAAAAAATGTGCTTCCTTTTCCTCATCAGTTTTTTCCCAGCCGCCTTCATACTAGCTTCACTATCAGTTACAATTTGTACAATATTGTCAACCCCTACTGATTCCACCACCTTATCCATTAGGGTGTAGACAAAGTCCGCAGTCTTCGCCTTATTTGTACAATCAACCGAACTGTGATATATCATATCTCTATCACAGTACACCATAAAATTTATGATTGGATGTTTTGTACGAGTACTCCAACCATCACACATAATTGTACATCCGTATGTTTTCCATTTCTGCTTTAAAGAATCAACATACTGTACAACTTCTTGCATCTCCTCGTTTAAATATTCACCACCAATTTGTTTACCAGTAGGTCCTTTAACTCCAGGTCCAACCGATGCAATCGTGTCAATCATCGTTTGGTAGTAAGGACCACTATCGGCAGCGTGAAATGGTATTGCATTAAAATGAAAAAATTTCGAAATTGCTCTACCCACTTTTTTTTGCATTATCTTTTGAAAACATATTTTTCAAAGACTTATTCTTCGATTGAAACATGTATGGATCAAGTTTTTTTTGATGCAAACCTTCTGTCTTTTTCATAGAGCTTTCGAAAAAATTTCTTTTACTTCCTTTTGTATTCGAGCTGCTTCCTCCTACAAAGATAAAAAAAAAAAAAAGCATATGATCATATATGGTTGTTATCTCAAAAAAAATATACTAATATTTAAATATATTTTATAAATTTAATAAATATACCGGCTTTAAAAGTCAAGCTTGGTAGATCTCCGGAAACAGAATGTCTACGCTGCTGCTCCATAAATTCCATATTTCTGCTTTCAGCCATTGCTCTTTTTAAGTGTTTTCTTTCAAGAGCATCTATCTCATCTTCATTTATTTCAAAAACTTCATCTTCTTCCTCATCAGAATCATCTTCCAAACGAATGGAATTTTGCAATGCTTCTAACTTTTTTTTATGTGCTGCTCGCATATTTTTTCCTTGGATCAAGTGTTTTTTTAATAACTCTCTTATTTCTTTTGGAGCTCTCGTGCATGCTTCAACTTGACCTGTAACATGTGCTATATGTTGTTTCATCCTAGTAATTCTGCCGTGAACAATTTTACCACAATAATTGCATTTTGCTTGTTTTCTATCATTGCTGATAGGAGTAGCATGATCCCAACCAATATCTCTGTGCGGTGCCATTTTACACAAACTCTGTAATTGAATAATACAATTGTTAAAATATTTATAAATAGTAATTCATTAATTAAATAGACAAATTATATATTAGTTTATTAATAAATCAAACTTATACAAAAATTTAAGTAGATAACTAATTTGTTTATATAAAAAATATAGTTAAAATATTAATTTTTTACAATAAATTTACAATTAATACAAATTTTGTCTAAAATAATATTAATTTTAAATAATAAGATTATAAGTTATTCTAAAATATTAATTTTAATGAACTCAATTTATATAGATTAAATAAAAATTAAATACAATCCAACACAATTAAACTAAATTTATCAATAAATTAAACAAATTATTCTAAATAATTAAATCTAAAATAATTAAACCTATAAATTAAATAAACAAATTAATAAAAAATAATTCAAATTTATAAATATTTAAATTAATTAAAATAATATAATAATTAAATTTACCTTCCTCCTTTCTTCCCCTCCCCCAGAACGCAGAACCCAGAACTCTTCCCCTCCCCCAGAACGCAGAACCCAGAACGCAGAACTTTCCCCCTCCCCCACGATTTCGTTCAGACACGAACAACTTCCCCTCCCCCACGATTTTCTTCACCGACGCGAACGCAGAATCCTCCCACTTCTTCTTCCCCTCCCCCACAATTCTTCTTCAGACGCGAACGCAGAACAGAGGTCTTTCCTCCACGATTCTTCTTCAGCGCACTAGTAAATGTTTTCTTCTCCGATCTGATCGAATTGAGATGAATTGTTCGAATAATATGAATAAAAAGTAGAAAATCGGTAAGAATAAGATTTATAATGGGTTTTATAGATAAGATATGAATGGATGGGAAAATTTTGGGCAAATATCGGATATTTTTGACGAACCGGAACGGTCCTGGTTCCGGATCGGCCGAGTCGGACCGGACTCGGCCGATCCGGCGAACCATGCTCCTATGGTACCATATACGACATGTTATTGGAGAATTTCGGAATAAATATCGTCTTCAACTTGCTTGCATAGGATTATATATCGATATTTTAGACAGCAACAACTCCATATCATATCACTCACAACTTAAATCATGAAGGAACTTGCTCATGAAATTTAATTATATTGGAATGAGTCGTTGCATGAAAACATAATAGTCATCATGTTAATTTATCAGCCTAAGTTGGGCATATATCCATATGAGATTTTCAAGTGTTCAATCCAACTTAACAACTTTTTTCGAACATGTTTTATCTAATGTATGGATAGTATTGTTGGGTCATATCAAATTTAAAATATTTTCTAGCACAAAATAGCATCATGCCTGTCAATGCCTTTGCATTATACTTAGTCTTACTTTTTACTTCCATAACAATATTGAAGACATTTTCAAACACATTGTTCTCAATATGCATAATATCGAAATTGTCGAATCAATAAATACTTCTAGTATGATAAGTCCCAAAAGATGCTTCCTTTTCGCCACCTACAAACATGGATAGGCTTTTTTATTAATTTAAGTGGAGTCGAATGTAGTTACTTTCAGAAATTCATAATTATCTATCGCATGAATCTATACTTCACTTGATTTTGAAGCCATCAAAATGGATTGAATCCGTCGGGTTGGCCTGCCCCGCCTCACTTCTAAAAAATGTTGGGTTATAATTTTAAGTTCGTTAAAATGCAGACCTAAACGCGCCAACCCATGTGAGCCTTGGGCTAGGAGTGAGTTAGCCCGCAGTAGGACGGTTAGCCAGTAAGTAATTATAATAATTAGTACTTTCTCATCTCAATTAAATGTATTTTTTTTTTTACTATTTTTTGTTTCTCACATTCATAAATATCAATTTTATATTATAATAAAAGTAATCAAATATTAATACTTAAGTATTTTTTATTTTTACATAAATTATAAATATATTATTATGCATATAATTAATGTACAAAGAATGAAAATATCAAAATCATTTTATGAACTTTTTAAATAAGTATCATATTATTATTTATTAATTTACTAAGAAAAGATATTTTTAGTAGAGACGGAGAAAGTACTGGTTTTTTCACCCAATATTTTCTCGGTCGCATAATTCCCGATAAATAATTAGAAAAAATATACTCCCTCCGTCCCAGATGAAAGTATCAATTTCAGATTTTGTAGTAGATTAAGAAATAATATTATTTTATTGGTTACTGAAAGTGTGTAAGAGATTTTGACATTTTTGCTCATTTATATATAAAGTAATTGTATGTATAATGATATCCTTATAATTTAAGTAAAAGTTAAGAGTGTTTTGGTATCAGTTTATGATTACTTATACTAAAGTAGGAAATTAATATTTTTAAACGAGACAAACAAAAATAATAAAAAAATATTTTGAGTTGGGACGGAGGAAGTATTATTTACACACTCTTACATAATATACATAATATATCTTTTATTCACTTATAAAAAGTCAACATTTAACACAAAATATTATTTTTTATATTATTTATAAGATTCTCCATATTTAATATAAAAACCACGTGCATTTAAAAATACAAAGTGAACAGACAAATTATTTATATTATCGTTAACATAAACCAATTAATCAATATTGTCTATGTCATTGTTGTTTTCTAACTCTCTTATAAGTGTCACTCTCTTATTTGGTTCGATTTTAATTTTCATCGTTTGTTCCGTTCGTATTTCATTTTATTGTTTTCTAATTTTTTTATTCTAGAATCTATTGAAAAATTCCTAAATTAATTATTATTTATTTTTAAAATATTTTTTATTATCAAATTTTTAAATACACTAACTAATAATAATTAGAATTTAGAATTTTTTATATTAGTTACTTATTTTGAAACATTTATTATTTAAACTTTACTATAAAAATATTTTTAATCTTTTTTGGTATATTAATTATAAAAATATTTATAATAAAATATATTTGTTTAATATTATTAAAAAGCTTGTGGGTTAACTAGATTAGCTCGCCACCCGCCGGTAGGTTAGGTTGGGCTAACTGAATTTTAGTTTGTCTTGCTGTGGGTTGGCCTGCAAACAACCTGCTTATTTGTGGGTTATTGACGGATAGTGGGCTACTCTGTCCCGTTAATCTGTTTTGATAGCTAGGTCTATTTGATTTTACATGTGGATGTGGCATTGTATCGATTATCTCTTTCTTGAAATTTATTTTGTTGTAATAATATGGGTGGCTATAGGGAAAAAATTTAGAATGTGTATCTGTTGTCGTAAAAAAATTGCCCCCGACGGCTTAATCGGAAAAGTTTGTCGGAATCGATTTGTTCAAAGGGTTCCCTGGCTTCCTCAAGAAAGGATCTGGGATATTTCGCGATATCCGAATAATTAATGTAAAAAGAAGGTAAAATAAACAAGAAAGAAGTTGAAAATTAAATTGGAATTAATGGAAGAAAACTGTAAAAATTTGAAAAAATTACAGTAATGAAAATCGCAGAGAAAAATTATGAAGAAGATGAATAAGTGATGATCGAATCTGGCATCTTCTGATATGCTCCTGATCTTTAATATTGTTTGTTATTTTTTGAATTATTTAGATATAACTTTATCCTTAATTATCCTTAATAACTCCAACCTCATTTTCAACAGCTTCCATGACACCTTTTTATCTAATCCATGGGCTGATCTTCTGCGGGAAGCTGCACAGGCTGGGCGTTGGGCCGCATCGCCTTTGGGCCTCCGGCTGCTAGGAATAAGCTGGGCCGGTTTACTTGGGCATTGCTACCTTGGTCTTTAGGCTGCACAATGTTCTCAGCAGCTTTGGGTTCCTTCTGATGGGCCGCGAACCTTCACCTTGAATTGTGCCTGTAGTGGGCCGGCCCAATCAAATTTGAATGTGTACAAATGTCCTCACAAAATTATTTGGACAAAAGTACGAATAATCTTGTCCAGGCTGAATTTTTTTTTTTAAAAGAAAAACGGCTTCTTCACGCGGGTATCTATCACGTCACCGTTGTCCTCTGTCAATTATTACTCTTCAGTCCCTTCACCTTCGCTTTATCTTCGAGGTAATCAACTTTCTCTCTTCTCGATCGAACATGAAAACCCTCACCTCTCTTTCTCTTCTCCTCTACAAGCACCCACCGTTCCTTTCTTCTTTTCTTTCTGCCGGCGAAATTGGGTCCCGTGCCTCCATAACAAACTGCGGCGACCTCAAGGCCCACATTCTCGTAGTGGTTCGGCGATGGTTTCGGTGATTCTAGGCGATCCGCGGTGGCGACTAGCGGTTCTTGGCGCTTCACGGCAGCGGGTCAAGGTTCTTGCACCACGGGGGAGGGGGGCTCCAATGTCTAGGGCTTAAACGGGAGCCCCTCTGCTGCTAGTTGACTTATACTCTCACCGTTCGCTGGGGACAATAAAGGTGTATCCGAGGGTTTCGATAATATCTTCGGAGGGGGTACACTTTCGCTATCTCAACCTTGGTTTAACTTCACTAGTTTTCCTTCTAGCATTTTTCGCCTGCCTAGCGATACTCTGAAATTTAAATTGTGTATGATAGATTAGGACCTTCTTTTGATGCGTGGTGGCAAACTTGGGGGATTAGGGACATGTTGTCTCTATGTGCTGATTCCGTTCCCTGCGACACTCTTATGACTAAGGCTTTGTTATGTTTCTGGAGTTCTAACATTAACGCCTTTGTATTTTCCTTTGGGATCTTAACCCTCACTGTGTTAGACGTAGTGGCTATCTTAGAGCTACCATCGAAAGGAATAGAGCCCCATCTATCTCTGTTTTGTAAATCGGATCACTTATTCATTCCTATGGCATACTATAGTAACACTACTGTGAGCCAATTCCTCGCTTCCAATAAGCTATCTGGGGGTGTCGAATTTTCCGAGAACAATGCATTCCTCGTGTATTGGTTTAGCAAGTACTTCACTTGTTGTGCGTAGAAGGGAGTAGTTAGGGAGGCCAAACTATTACTGAATGCCATCATTTCTGGTGCTGAACTTGATTTAGCTTCATATTTTTTGGGCATGTTGTACCATGGTATAAATGATTTCCTATGGAAGCTCTCTGCCTTGACTTCTCGCAAACCGATAGGGGCCGGCCCCTTATGGTTCCTTGAATTGTGGCCACGGCTATACTTTCCTGGTTTAATTAGCCCGTGTCCTGACCCCCCCCATTTAGCCAACTCACTGTATTGGGTTCATACTTAGCGTTGTATCATACTTTTAAAGGTAACCTTCATTCCGTAACATATTCCATCTTGCGTGAGACTGATCGGCCTTCAGTTGACTTCTGTCATCTAGTCGGCCACCCTGCTGGTCCTGATTGGCCAACTGTTTCCAGCGGCGACAATTCTGCTGCTGACAACACCCTCCGTGCAACCTACTGAAATAAATGCCTAACTGCCCGTGTCTTAGTCGGAGGCTTAGTCGTAGGGTCTTGGTACAATCCTTTAATTGGGGAGATTTATCAGCCTCAATATTGTGCTTGACAATTCGGATTGACTCAAGGGGTTCCTCTTACCGCCCCATCTCAAACGGAATCAAAGTGTAGAGCTGGCAGCCGTCGATGCCTAGCGGACTTATATTAGCGAGCTGGAGAACCTTCCTTATTCGTTCCATCCTCTAAATCCGAATACCTTACCTTCTTTCGATCGATGATGGATCAGTTTCCTTGCCCATATGGACCTGAATGTTCTACGATTGTCCTTAGTTAGGCTGGTTGACGAGCATTTGAGTGATGAGGATTCGCTTGATGCCATTTTTGACGGGGTAGAGATTTCTGCACCTCCATCTACAGAAAATCTATAACATCTGCCATGCGATATGGTGGGTCGTAATCATGTGACTATTTTCTCTTATAATGCAGGTATGCCTTCTATGTCGAGTGTCCGACCCACGTCATCTTCCACAGTTTGACGCTCTCGGAGGTTGAGTTCGAAACCTGCCGTGCCCAAGTTACGGTCCAAACGGCCTGCCAAACAACCAACTTTGTCGCCACCTTCATCTCAGGTAACTCTTGAAGCGAACCGTTAATCATGGGGTGGGTTCTCATTTTATATGATTGTGCAGGCCCCTCCCAAGAAAACCATCTACTCTTTCGTTTCTTCGGCCAGGAAAACAACTCCGTTGCTGTCCGCCATTCAGGTATGCATATACGTACATCTTAGTTTAACTTTTAACCGCATGATATACCCTGACTGGTCTTCTCCGGACAGGTTTCCCAAATGGAAGTCACTCATGAACCCACTGCTCGGTTGGCAGAACAGTCCATATCTTCGCCGTCTTCTTTTCAGGTGCTGGTTGTTGTTAGTCATGGATTCACTTTTGGGGCTTGCTTTGATTGGTTTGATCGCGCAGGTTTCTCAAGGAAAGATTACTCCGGAAACAACAGTTGAATCAGTACAGACTTGTTCCCTTACTCCAAATAATCCTGATTGCACCAAGGCGTCCGCATCTCAGATCGTCCCCCTGTTCCAGTCTCAATCCCCCCCGACGTGGAAGCATACTTTGCTCCGGAACTTGATGAGGATACCCTTTTCCTTTCGGTTACCGGCGAGTTGGATCGATACCCTTTTGCCTCTCATAAATCCTCTCTACCAGAGGATTCGGGGACTCTAGACTCCTTACAGGTATCCATTTTAGCTATGGCTACCACTCTGCCCTTGCATTCAGATCGTAGAAGGCAGCTGGAGGATCTCGCTGATTGTTTAAGGGAGGCTTCCGGAGGACTAAAGATGATGTAGGGCTTTCGTAACGCCAACGACAGCAAACTCAAAGAGCTAGCGGCCCTGGAGGCGGAGAAAGCGACCTGCGCCCATAACTTCTTAGATGAAAAATAGTGAGCCAAGGATGAGACAACTTACATAGAGGGCCTATGTACTGAGGAGGCAGCTTTGTGGGCCGAACTGAGTCGGATTCAGAGACGCTTGAAGGAGATCCCACCGGAGTTGGATCGGGTAGCGGCGAGCCCTGCCGCTAGGGCCTTCTGGAGGTTGGAGCAGTACAATCAGGCGCGGGCTTTGGATGAGCCCTTTTTAGGGCTTCGTGGGCAGAAAATCATCTTTGAGAAGAATTTCCAATGAGCCGAGAGAGGACTGGAAGAGCTGCATTTGGCATGGCCTGATATGATGGCCTAGTGGACTTCTTCGCGCTCCGAATATCCGGAGCCGGCCGACCCGCACTCCCCGACGTCGGTCACTACTGTTGGGGAGCCATGCACCACAGATGCAGTGCCCAAGCCGCCGGCTAAGGGCACTTCTGTTGATGATACCGGGCTTGTGGATGTTAATATTAATCGTGATGTGGGTTCAGACCATCCTCCTATCGGCTAGTATATTGCCTCGTTATTGGACAGTACTCCGCGTGACTTATTTTGGCTGGTCTTTTTGTCCCTTTTGCGATAACTTGCAAATGGGCACGGTGAACTGTGTCCATGAATATTAAATAGTGCCTCGTATATCTTGTTTTGATGGTAATGACCAATTTGTGGTGTACCTTTTCCTTTTATTTGACTATTCCTTTAGTTCTAATCATTCGTGTCTTCAACACTCTTAATTAAGTGCATCCTTCTTTTTCCAGTTCCCAAAGAGATGGATAAAATCTCTTTAAATATTTTCCATTAATGAACGTGCTTAACTCCTTCCCTATGCACCGCTAGTTGTCTTGGCCGATATAATAAACGGCCCCTCCCATGTGGGGTGACCATTTCTCAAGTCTTGCATCCTTTGGACCTTCCGGGAGGATGACCTTCCAGACCATGTCGCCTTCCTGGAAGGTCTGAGGCCTGACGTGCTTCTGGAAGGTCGACTCTACCCTTTTCTTTTGATATCGAGTACGCTCAAGTGCCTGTAACCTCTATTCCGGCAAAGCGTCGAGCTCCTGGAGTAAGGCTTGATCATGCTCTTCCACGATAGTCCATTCACTTTCAAGATCCGGAGCGAAGGTACTGTAATTTCCAATGGAAACACGGCGTTATGACCGTAAGTTAACCGGTAAAGGGTGCTACCGATTACAGAGGATTTAGCGTTCCTGTATGCCCATAGTGCCCCCTCCAAGGTATCGTGCCAATCTCTTAGATTGTCCTCCAACTCTCTCTTGATAATCGAAATCAAAACTTTATTTATCGCCTCGGCCTATTCATTAGCCTGAGGATATTAAGGAGAAGAGTGGAGTAGTTGGATCCCATACTGGGCTGTAATGCCTTGACCTTCGCATTTGTAAATACAGTGCCTTGATCGGTGGTTATTGTCTTTGGAATGCCAAAGCTATGAATAATATTATTCTTAATGAAACATATAATATGGATATGTTGTACCTTGGCAAGCGGTACAACTTCCACCCATTTCGTAAAGTAGTCTGTTGCTACGAGAATAAAAGAGTGTCATTTGGAAGATGATGGGTGGATCTTGCCAATTATATCCATTTCCCATCCATGGAAGGGCCAAGGATTAATAATTGAATGGAGCTCCTCCACAGGGACTCGTCGAAGTGTCCATGGTGTTGACACGCTGGGCATCCCTGTGCATAATCCACACAGTCCTGCGAGATTTGTGGCAAAAAATAACCGTAACGGAGTATTGTCCACTTCATAGCGGGTCCAACCCTATGCACCTCCAACACCTTCGTGGACCTCGGTCATAACCTTCCTAGCATCCCTGTGGCCCAGGCAGCATGGCAAAGTCCCATCGGACCTCCGTTGGTATAGCTTCCCATCGATTTGAGTGTATTTCAAAAGCTGATGTTGCACTGCTTTTGAAGCGACCTTCCCGGGGTTTGTTAGACCTTCTAGCAAAGGGGTTCACAATCTGGATCTAGTGCAGTCTATAAACATTCGAACCTTTGCGGTATTTCCCCTTTTTTAAATCCGGAAGTCCACTGCGCCAAGTAGTTTGCCTTTGAATTCTCTTCATGGGGTATATCTTCTAATGTCACGTCTGTAAGCTGCTGAAGAAGGTCGTGAGCTGCTCGGAGAAGGTCCTGAAGCCGGGGGTCTTTACACTTGAATTTCTTGATAGCCTTTCGAATAACCAGCTGAGAATCCCCTCGGATGACGGCCTTCCCGATCTCCTTTATGACTAAGAATCGCAATGCCAATAGCAGCGCTTCGTATTCGGCTTGCTTGTTGGTGACACCTTGTAGAAGTTGATGAGCGAAGCGCCACACCTCTCCCTCCGGGCTGGATATTATTATGCCTACTCCGGTTGCTCCCGCGGTTCTGGATCCATCAAAAGCCACCAGCCAAGGTTCTAACCCTACGTAGTCGAAAGGGGTGACCTGAACCATCCTTGGATATTCGACCAAGAAATCCGCAATGGCCTATCCTTTGACAGTCTTAAATTGATACACCAATGGAAATGATGTCAATTTTAATGCCCATTTAAATAAACAACCTCGGAGGACCGGCCTGTTTAATAAATAGCTTAAAAGGTCGACTTTACATACGACTTTAGTTTCGACCAGCATCAAGTAATACTCTAATTTCATGCATGCATTATATAAGGATAAACAGAGTTTTCAATGCACGGATAATGAGTTTCGGCTTCATTTAAGGTCTTACTAAGATAATAAATAACATGTTCCCGACCTTCGTTGTCATCTTGGGCAAGGAGACAACCTATTGTATCATCAGCCGCGGCTATGTATAGCTTCAATCCTCTTCCGCTGATCGGTGGCATTAACACCGGAGGAGATGCTAACGTCGGTGTCCCACCAAGCGTGCCAATTTTGTTGTCATAAAAAAATCACCACCGACGGCTTAATTGGAAAAGCCTTTCGGAATCGATTTGTTCGAAGGTTTCCCCGGCCTCGTCAATAAAGGATCCGGGCTTTCTCGTGATATCCGAATAATTAATGTAAAAATAAGGTAACATAAACAAGAAAGAAGCTGAAAATTAAATTGAAATTAATGGAAGAAAACTGTAAAAAACTGAAAAAATTACAGTAATGAAAATCGCAGAGAAAAATTATGAAGAAGATGAATAAGTGATGATCGAATCTGGCGTCTTCTGATTTGCTTCGATATTTAATATTGTTTGTTATTTTTTGAATTATTTGGATAAAACTTTATCCCTAATTATCCTCAACAACTCCAACCTTATTTTCAACAGCTTCCTTGACATTTACTTATCCAATACAGGGGCTGATCTTCTGCTGGTAGCTGCACAGGCTGGGCGCTGGGCCGATCCAATTGGGCCCCATCGCCTTTGGGCTTCCGACTGCTAAGAATAAGGTGGGCTGGTCCACTTGGGCACTGCTACCTTGGTCTTTGGGTTGCACAATGATCTGGCCAGCTTTGGATTCCTTTTGCTGGGACGCGAACCTCCATCCTGGACTGTGCCTGTACTGGGCCGGCCTAATCAATTTTGGATGTGTACAATATCAAATAAAAACTGCTTATAGTCATCCAGGAGATTGAAAGCTACATTTTGATCCTAGCATCGCGGTCTTCATAGACGTCTTCCATCCAAACATCCATCGAGTAAATAGGAATGTTGCCTATTAGAAAAGGTATAATTATTTATAGCAAATTGATAACGAAAAAAATATGAGAAAAATGGAAAATTGATCACCTACAGTCCACAATAGTGTTTTTTTTTTTTTCATTAGAAAAAATTCGTTACGAGAAGCATTGAATGTTTCAACTCTATTGTTCGATAGACGTTTGAACTTCTTGATCAAATGTTGCAAGTATATATCAATTTTCTATTTAAGGTTTTTAGTGCTCAGTGCCACAAAGATATAAAAAAAAGTTTTAACTTTTAAGCACATGTTCGGTGGGAGACTGCACGGGGTGAAAACTATGGGCTAAGATGAGTATTGACTCCCTGACTGTCCGAAGGGCTAAAACCCATCCATGCAAGGACCTAATACACATTCATAGGCTTCATTCCAAATGATGGGTATATCACATCTATATGTTTCCACACTTCTATATCACACAAGCGGTACATATCATTGTCATTCGCATGCCAATGATCCTCATGTCATTGCATAAATGATTTTGTTAGAGAAAACACATACAAAAGCTTTAGTTTGGGTGTTGATGCTTTGAATTTGGTTTTGGATTATAAACATGAATTTCTCATGTTCTATAGTGTCGTGTTGTAGCTCAAAATATTTTCATCAAATAATAGATTTTTCTCATATTGACCGGTGAGTGCCGGATCGAACTCAGAGCATAAGTGTAAGAGAAAATTTGGGTGAGAATGAATGCGAGCATATGACTCAAGTTGACTTGAATGTAATTCTACACTATTGAAGTTCAGAACTAAGTGCAAAGTTAAGTAGTGAAAGATGAGTGTAGTGTAATGCAAGAGTGATTATGAAGATGATGGAATGAAATTTTTGAGGTGTTAACAAAATATGTATTAATATATAATGAATGGATTGGGGCGAAAAAAATGAGGAGGTGTGCGCCAAGTGGATGATAATGAATGTGTTATAATGCGTTATAATGTTGCGTGAAAGTGATCACAAGGGATATTTACTTGTTAAGGTACCTCTTGATTCTAGGATTTTTAATTTATATTTACTCCGGCAAGTTAAATTGATCATTGAGTATTGAGCTAATGATCTATTTCTAGACTCATACTTCACTATCCTGCAAGCTATTCTCATCGATACTCATGATTGATTAATAAAATAGTCAATTTGCTACCTACCTTTTATTATTTTTCTAAGTCAAATTGTATTCAAAGAACTGCTTTCGTGAGCATCTTAGGTCTACCTAGCAGGATGATTTCCTTTCGGGTTCATCTAAATAGATTTTTTTATGTGACTTACATATGTATTTATCTTAAGATACTTCGTGAGTATTTATCTCAAGTTCATGTCATCCAAGAATGAGAATGTGATGAAGAAACCATGAAACTTCATTACTTAGAATTTAATTGAGTTCAATGTTGCGATTACACTAAAAATGTAACATTGTGATTTACCTGCAAATTTAACATACACATTACACTACAAAGCTTGTAAATCTATTTAAGTGCGGAATTTAAATTAGATGGGTGGCGAGCACGCGACTTCTGTCTCAAGTGCTTCCAGCTTCTAATGTCCAGAGCTCCTTACAACTTGAGCTATTTTCCAATGAAATGTGAAGTTCAGATTGTAAAATTTTGATAAATGAGCTATGAGTTGAGTTCTATTTTTAAGCATCGGCCAAGCTTTTAGAAAGTGACGCTTTCCATTGACAGCTGACGAATCAAATCCCTACCCTGTAGATGCTAATTCTTAATCGACAGCCAGGATGGCTTTTGACAAGGATTGAAACTTGGATCTTTGTCAATTCAGTCTCTTTCTATAGACTGATATATGGTCTTGCCCTATTTTACAAATCATTTTTTTTATCTCAAATCGCGACCAGGCAATAAATATCCTGACTCACATTCTCCATTTTCGCATGCGCCCTTCTTTCCAAAATGCCTGATATATCTATTTTTGCTTATGAGACATCTCAAAATACGAATGCATATTAATTCGCACAAGAAAGACTCAACACACATGTA